GACAGCGTGAGGAGATCCCTCAGCAGGATCAACGCACGCAAAGCTGATGTCTTCACAGACATTTTCAACATCTCACTAATGGCGCTTTTCCACTGCGTGGTACGACTCGGCTCGGTATGGCTCAGTACGGCACGGCACGGCTTGGTTTGCGTTTCCACTGTGGTTCAGTACCGCTTTAGAGTGGGCGGGATTATTCATATGTCATTATAGTTGCGCCGCCTCTACTGCCACGACTCCTAAAAAAAGTTTTCATTCCGCATCGCCCCATCAAGCTCTCGCTGGATCCACTCCTCTGCTATCAACGAGAGGAACGTCTGTACTTCCGCAACAGACAACAAAACGTTTTGGTTATTAAAAAAAAGTTGCGCTCGTTCAAAACAGTTGCGATCGATCTTTCGCTGGCCGTACTGATTTAAATCTAGCGGTTCTGTTGTGTTTTTGTCGCAAGTTCAGTGACGCAGGTAGTGACGATTCTCTCTGGCCAATCTGTGATCAGCAGAGTTTACATGCTTTGTTGCTGGCCGCCACTGTGGGCTTGCTGCATCGAAGCACAGAATTTCTCACTGGGTTAGGGATGCTATTTCGCTGGCATACAAGGTGCGTGGTCTTTCTTCACCTCTCAGTATTCAGGCGCATTCTGCCAGGAGTGTGGCTTCCTCTCAAGCTCTTTTTAGAGGGGTCCCCCTAGAGGATGTGTATGTAGAGGCAGGATGGTCCACTCCGCACGCTCTATAAAGTTCTATAATTTGGATGTTGACACGGCTCCTGTCTTGTCCACTAGAACCAGCAGTGGATGCTATGTGGTTCTTCATCTGGCCAGATACGGCAGGGTTTTAGCTTGGCGTTCTCTGGTTACTTGCGTAACCCAGGTTCTCTGTGTAGGGAACGAGACGAAAATGGGTTACGCAAGTAACCAGAGACGTTTTAAAGGGGCGGGTCCTTTAAAGCTTCTCAGTAATTGGCCACTGCTATGATTGGCTAATGTTATTGCATGGGAAACAGTTTCAACGCCCCCGGCAATAATTGTAATTTCTATTTGCTTTTGACGCGATGCAACACTCACACATTCAGCGTAGCCAAGTGTCAGCCATTAAGCGACTGAACGCCTGTGGGCAGTGCCTATGGTGAGAATAAGACTATTCGTCAATGTCTTGCTCTGGAAGCGGTGTTTATGCAGATGTTTGTGCCTGGGTGATTTCATCTTGCACCTCAGATCCAAATGAGCCGTTTTTGGAGCTTGATTAAATAAATGCTTTGTTTATAATGAGGAGAACGTTTTAAGCTATGAAACGTGCAGGATGTTTTAATGGTACAAAGAACTCTTATATGGCAAAAGATCAAGGCAAATCTGATTTCTCATGTCATTATCGGATGCTGGGTCTGATTAATTAGCTTTGCAGTTACCTGCCACACTGCGCTACATTGTTAGTCATTGAATGAGCTACTGAGAGCCGATGCAGTGAGGAGATGGGACAAGAGTCAAGAGGAGGCGTTCACGAAAGTGAAAGAAATGTTAGTTGCGGCCACAGTGTTGGCATATTACAACGTGAACAAGCCAACAGTCATCTCGGCTGATGCCAGCAGTTATAGAATAGGGGGTGCATTGCTTCAAGAGCATGATGTGAAGATGCTTTCAGTGTCCTTCTGTTTCCGTACTCTCACAGCCGCTGAGAAACGCAACGCTCAAATTGAAAAAGAGCATTTAGCTTCAGTTTGGATGTGTGAAAAGCTGTCACAATATCTTTGTGGTTTGGAGTCCTTCAAAATACTCACAGATCATAAACCTTTAGGCCCTTTGATAAACCAGAAAAACCTTGACGAGGTCCCCTAATTAGTCTCCTAATTAGGATGATGCACTTCAACCTAGTGGCAGTGTGTTCTCCAGGAAAGCTGGAGTTCAGGAACAATGTACAGTGAGAAAAATGCAAGATTTACTAGTAAATACTTTTATAAAAAGTATTGCAACCGCATTTAAAAAAAAAAAATTGACACGAAAATTCTACTATTTTTCTATTAACCAATTAGTCTGCATTTACTTTGCTTGAACATCTATTTTGACAAATTATTTTTTCTCCCATTCGAAAATGCATCACATTTATGAGGGATTTATGCCACTCTTGAAACTGCTTGTACAGGGTATATGGCTGAAAAAACTAAACTTTTGTTTGAATTCTGAGCAGATTATATTTAGCCTAGAAAGTGTGGCAATAGCACTTCCTTTATAATCACTAAAAAGGTGTCACTTCCTTCAGTTCATCACGATCTCACAAAGCTCCTTTATAATCAACGAACCTCTTATTTACATCATGTTACAACGAGACTAATAGTGAGCGTACAGAAAAAAATCTGGCTAGTGAATTCTGACTCATTTGAACAGAATGGCCAATCAGAGGTGTTCAAGAATCAACAGATAAGTCTGTGATTGGCTACATTGCTCAGCGCTACAAAAACACATTGTAATCAGAAACCTTTGATGTTCTCCAGACTTTATTTCAAATGAACCTTCATGTTACCAGACAGTACAGGCCAACAGGTGCAGGGCATTGTGGGTATGTGGAGTCAGCGGGTGCAGGGGATTGTGGGTAGGTTGAATCAGTAGGGTCTGAATTTCCTCTGTGCTCTCAGTACAGCGATTCTCTGTTTGTCCTCTTCAAACTTCTTCCTCAGCTCAGCGATATCTGAAACAGACGGATGATTCGCTTTGAGAGCCTCTCAGACACACGGCACCATGCTCTGACTTTTTTCTCAGAATTACAACAGTTATGACATAAAAAGGTGCAATTTTGAAAAAAAAACAAAAAAAGTCAGCATTGCAAGAAGAAGAGTTTACATCTCGCAATTCTGAGTTCGTATCTTGCAGTTCTTAGTTTGCAACTCGCAATTCTGAGTTTAAATCTCGCAATTCTATTGTTTACATCTCGCA